ATGACACTGCTTAGAACTTAGTTTAAAGTGGCTTGCAAGTAGAGAACAAACAGGTTTGGAGTTGCTCATGTTGAATCTCTCAAGTATCTTTTGAACATATCTTTCCTGAGATAGCCAAAGTTTCTCCTTCTTCTTGTCACGTGTGATCTTCATGTCAAGAATCTATTTTGCTAGCCTAAGTTTTTCATTGCAAAAGATTTGCTTAACTCTACCTTTAAAATCTAAATCTTCTTAGCATCATGGCCAACAATCAACATATCATCCACATACAACAAGAGAATAATAAAGTTTCCATCTGGAAACCTTTTCATAAATACACAATGATCAGAAGTGGTCCTGTCATAACCATGATCCACCATAAAAGAATCAAACTTCTTATACCATTGTCTTAGAGCTTGCTTTAACCCATATAGGTTATTTTTCAACTTGCAAACTAACTGCTCTTTACCTTTTGCTTTAAACCCTTCAGGCTGCTCCATGTGTAGATTTCTTCATCTAAATCACCATAGAGAAAGACAGTTTACACATCAAGCTATTCAACTTCAAGATTCAAACTAGTAGTTAAGTTAAGCACAACTCGGATTGAAGACATCTTGACCACCGGTGAAAAGATTTCTTCAAAATCAATACCCTTTTTCTGACTGAAACCTTTCACAACCAATATTGCCTTATACCTTGGTTGTGAGCAATGTTCATCAATTTTCAACCTAAACACCTATTTGTTCTTAAGTGTTATTGCTCTCTTACCTTTAGGAAGCTTTACTAACTCAAAGGTATGGTTTTCATGCAAGGATTTCATCTCTTCTTGCATTGCTTTCAACCACTCACTTTTCTTCTCATGTGACATAGCTTCATCAAAGCATTCTGACTCTCCCCTATCAGTAACCAGCATATACTCATGAGGAGAATATTTGGTGGAAAGTTGGCGAAGTCTAGTTAACCTTCTCAATTGTGGCTCATCTAGAGCTTTCTACATAACCTATTCAGGAATAACATCAATATCATCATTAACGGATTCAGGATCACCAACTAATGGCTCAATAAGAGAATCACCATTATCATCATACTGCAAGTCTCTCCCGTGATTAGAAGGCATTAAAGGTAACTATGGAGTAGGTCTTGGATTTGAACTAAAAGGAACAAAACCAGTAGACTCTGTTTTCTCTTTTTGTTCAAAGTCTTCAATGGTTTGATCTTAAAAAAAGATAACATCTCTGCTTCTCATAATTTTCTTCTCCTTTGGATCCCACAACCTATAGCCAAACTCATCATCTTTAGAGCCCAAGAAAATACATTGTTTTGTTTTATTGTCAAACTTAGACTTTTCATCTCTAGGAACATATAGAAATGTTCTGCATCCAAACACTCTCAAGTGTGCATAAGAGACATCCTTTCCTTTTCAAACTCTATCTGGAACATCAAATTAAAGAGGAATTGATGGAGAAAGGTTAATCATGGTAACTACAGTCTTCATTGCCTCACCCCAAAAGAACTTAGGCAACTTTGCATAGGAGAGCATACATCTAATTCTTTCAACAATGGTTCTGTTAATTCTCTTAGCCACTCCATTCTGTTGTGGATTCTTAGAAACTATTTTCTCTAATTCATATCATGTTCCCTGCAATACTTCTTAAAAGGGCCCCTATATTCACCACCATTGTCAGCTCGAATACATTTAAGCTTTCTATCAGTTTCTCTTTCAACTCTAGTATGGAAATCCTTAAAGACATCAAGCACCTGATCTTTGGATTTCAAACAAGTGGCCCAAACTTTCCTAGAGTGATCATCAATAAAACTAATAAAGTATAATGCACCTCTAAGAAACATATCAATCATAGAGCAAACATCAGTATGAACTAAATCAAAAACATGTGATCTTTTATGTAAAGGTGATCTTTGAAACGCAACTCTGTATTGTTTACCAACTAAACAATGAGTACATGTGTTCAAGTTCATACCTTTTAATGGAAGGTAGTTCTTCTTGGAAAGGATGCCAAGGCCTTTCTCACTCAAATATCCAAGTTATTTATGTCATAGATCAATAAAGCAATCTTCAATTGCATTCACCTCCCCTTTGATAATCTTGGCTTGTAACATGTAAAAATCCATCTTCTTCCCTTTAGCAACAATCAAGGAATTTCTGGAGAGCTTTCATTTTCCATCTCCAAAGTGATTGTGATATGACTTTCTATAACAAGTGCATGAGACTCAGAAGTGCTTGTTCCTTTCTTCCTCTTCTCTTCATTGAGGATACAATTCTTCACTGTTTTCAAAGTGATCTTTTCATTCAAAGTAGAATTACTAAGTGACACCACCAAAGTCTCCCAACTATCTGGCAATGAACTCAATAGGATTAGTGCTTGTATTTCATCGACTAACTCAAGATTTATCAATGAAAGTTGATTCAAGAACCCTTAGAATACATTTATATGCACTGAAGCTTCTTCACCATCTCTATACTTCAAATTCACAAGGTCTCTAATTATAAAAACCTTGTTTTGTGCATTCTCCTTAGCAAATGTTTCTTCCAACATCTTTTAAACTGTATAGCAGTCATGTTCTTAATAAATATGATTAATGGACTTAGAAGATACCCATTTTTTAACATTAGCAGTAGCTTTTCTATTAAGCCCATTCTATTTTGCATCATTCGTTTCATCAAGCTTTATTCATTTACATTCAATCGGCAAAGCCAAATCATTGTAATATAAGTGATCCTCCATTATTGTTTTCCAAAGAAAATAATTAGAGGAAGTGAGCTTTATCATGCTTGAATCTTTCTTTTTCATTTTAACTACATAAGAAATTCAATCTATACAACCAGTGCTCTGATACCATTTTTTTGGGAAAACTAGGAACAACCGAACACCAATTTACCTGGATTATAATTCAGCGGAATACAAGTCCCAATACTTTCCCTCTTTGTGCAGTAAAATCAAAATCAAACAATGACCAAATATAATGCAAATAATCACACAAATCAACACCATGATTTTAATGGGAAAAACCCAACGCGGGAAAAACCATGGGACCGTAGTCCACCTAAAAACTTCCACCATCAACACATAATAGGTTAATAATTATTCTTCCTCAGATTCAACTAAGGAATATAACATATATATCATCAAGAACAACTTATTCTCGGATTACAACAAGATTAAATGAGAATTATTTGAGAAAAACTCACAATACTGACAGCCCTATTTTCTATCAAAACGGCCAGCTTACACACCACCAGTCTTCAATCCAACCATCTCGAATAAAGAGTAACATGTCTAGAAGCTGCCGTCAAAATCTCAGCCCGATCCAACGGTGAACAAGCTGGAAATCGGAGGAAGAACATAAACTACTTTGCTGCCTCTTCTTCTTTCTTTCTCTCTCAGTTTTTTTCTCCTCTCTTCTATTTTTCACACTACATCTATAGTGGCTTTTCATCTTTTAATTCAAAGACAACTTACTAATTAATGTAGTGGTTCTATCAATCCATGGTACGGGGTCATACACAATAATTTTATGGTGAGGAAAATTGTTTATTTTGCCACATTAGTTGCGACCAGCTTAACAGCGGTTGGGCTTTTTGGAGTCTAGCTGTCAGGCTATGAGTCATGAGTGAGGAGAGGACACAAGTTTTAGACTCCATGGTTTTGGGTTTTCTAGATGGTTTTGCAAGAGTGTAAAGGGAAAAGAATGCTCCGCAGCATGTATTTTGGAAGAATAATGTTTTTGGTGTCATGCAGTTTTTGGAAGAATAATTTGTTTTAAAAACAGGGAAATTAAGACAGTAAATAGAAAGATCAGCAAGAATTTCAACAAAGAGAACCCATCAATTTGAAAAATAATGGATAGTGGGAGCGCCTGAAAGGAGTGCAGATATCACCTCCCCAATCCTTCTTCCTCTTCTTTATAAAGTTATCCATTGCATTTCATGCACAAACAATTTATTCTGTTATGACCAAAACAAGGAAGCTCGCTATTTTCTCAATTTTTATGAGCATTTCATCGCTTTATTGATTCATAAAAAGAAGTATAAATCTGACCATTCATTAACGAATACAAGACAAAACTTACTTGTCCCTCGCTAATCTTTCTGAAGCCTAGTCTTCTTGTCCAGATTGACTCAGCTGCTGGTAGCACCAGTTGTTCCACATTCAGGGAGCACAATAACCTCTCAATGCACAAGAATAATGGATTGAAAAGGGAGTTGAAAGCTTAAAAAAACCAACATTTCATGAAATGCAATGTACCTTATAGTCAAAAGCACACAATACATGCTCCCAAATTCCTGGCCAGATATATTTCTCCCGCATAAAGTTAAAGAGAGAACTTTAAAGCTCTGAAAGTCCTGAGAAATTAAAGAAATTAGAGGCAGACAACCAGAACCAGCCATTGATGCTGCTAAACGAAGCATGTAAATTCTCTTCAGAATGTTCTCGTCTCTCAATACTCTAGCTCGTTGAAAGAGAAAGTGATTGAGAAGTGAAGGCAGAAGGATAGAACATCAGTCTTCTACTGGTGTAACGTGGGAGGGGATGAATGCACAAGGGAACAATTGAAAATAAGAACCCTTCGTTCCAATCCCTTCATTATCATGAATTATAATTTAGGGGCCAAATCGTTCCAATCCCTTCATTATCATGAATTAGAATTTAGGGGCCAAAAAAAAAAGAGAGATTTTCTCATTTCTCTTGTTCGCCAAACTTTCATCCAACCAAATTGTCCTTTGTAACCCAGAATGCGATAGCACATGTCAAGTGAGAATAATTTCCACTCTCTAGAGCGCCTACATAGAAAAAGAAGAAAATTAATAATTAGCCTTAAATTCTGATGAGATAGAATTATCATGATTTATTTGAAAAGCATGACTGATTAACTTCACATTTAAGATGAAAATTCATATCACAATATAAGGAAAATGAAAAGCTTTGACTTGCACAAAGCATCAGGTGACAAACCCTACTCATGGCTTAAACGAGCTTTTGAAGTAACAGCATGAACATCAAAGCCATGCCAGGCCCTCAGCTAAGTCGCAACAAACACAATTCCAATCCTTTTACAGGTAAGGACCTTTCTAATTTTCCTATCATCTTCATCATCATTCACATTGCAAGATTTAAATTATTAGTTTTTCTCAAGGTGGACGGACGGCGTTAGTTCCTCTGCTTTTCCCTTTTTCTGTTGATAGCGGAGAGCTAATGATTCACATGAGCTTTGAAAGGAGTTTCATAAGGTAGCATTCCGCATTTTCTAAAAGCTCTTCTGTTTGATATTTTTATTCAGAAGGTTCCTTGTCCATTTGACTCAGTGCTCAATTCAACTCATCTAGACCAAGACTCAATTCCAAACTAGCTGGGGCTGACTTCAAGGATCCACTCCCCCCTTTCCTCCATTTTGTTCTGTTATGAGCTAAACACTTGATAAAATGAATTGGACTCTCCCCGTGAATTAAATGTGGACAGTGCATTTTTCTTCGTCTGTAAAAGTGAAAAATATGTAGATTTCTTTCTCTTTTGCAAAGAGGAAGAGAAAAGGAAATAAATAGTAAAACACAACTTATTTTTTCACTTGCCAAACTAAAATTTCTCGCATTAATATCTACCTCAACCTCCAGTTTTTATCATTTCAATAAATGTACCCAAGAAAAAAGACATCCAAAAAATGATATTGAAGATGAAAAAAGAATAAATTAAAGGCAAATTCACACAGTTCTCTGCATAATAGCTGCTTGTGTTGGTGGGAAAAGGAAGCAGAAATCCAAGAAGGCACACAAGAACTTACTCGAAAAATTGCAAAAGCAATGAAAGATCTTCTCGGTTGCGACTCTTTCCCATCAGAATTTGCCACTGCACATCACATGCAGTTTCACCAACAAGTAGTCCTTTCTCGACATGCTTTATATTTATGATATTTAACAGCGAACCAGGAATTTTCTGCACGCCAGTAGAAACAGAATTCTGATGGGAGAGATACATAGATATTATTGCAGTCTTGACAGCAGAACCATTTATCTTCGGGGATTTCCTATGGTGAAATATTCAAGAAAAAAATAGTAAATACTTCTGGAAGATCATAAACGCAAGCTGTTTTGAGATAATGGACTTAATTTTAGATCAAATAGTCCACTTTCCCGCAAGTAACCAACATGAACTCCTTTTCGCACTGAAAGAGAGCATAACAGTAAGCATCTATAGTAAGAAAAGCATATATAAAGATTATAGGAACCAAAAGCAAAATTTGATGAATGACTAAATTGAACTAAACAAGCAAAGATCAAGGAAAACTCAAAAACAAATCTGTGTTCATTGACCGGTAGGAAACCCTTCTACAAAAGGAACTTGGGGCTTGGAGCTCTTGGTTGCTAGGAATTCTATATTAATGGAAGCATTAACTAATCTATTGCTCTACAAAAGCTGTGTAATCCTTAATAACTAATTAATTCCATCTCCGCTAATCAGCTGCTATTGTGAATTTCTTATTTCATCAGTAACTCATTGCCCTCTCCTCGTAAAGTTGCCACAATGATCCAACGAAAGGTACAATCAACCAGATAAATTAACGCTCCATAATCTTGACTTAGTGTATGAAAATTTAAGCAAGGACATTCTGAGCTCGTAAAATACAGACCTTACAAAGACCATGCAAAAGTTAAAAAATTACATCCTTGGTGAAATATATAATCGTAGGAGTGACAAAAAGGTCATTGGCCAATTTTATAATAACATCAAGTACTTCTCCTAAAAAAAATGACTTCCTACTATTTGCTAGGGTAAAATCTATTAGAAATTCCAAGAGATTTAACCTGCAAACAGCACAACCACCAACATCATATTCTGGAGTTTTAACAACTCGAGTCAGCCGGATGACATTAGGTCTTGCAAAATTGCCTTCGTCAATTTGGACAACGCCAAGCACCTTCAGGAGTGTCCTGTAAATCCAAACATGCTGCAGCACAAACAAATACAAGATGAAATGGACAAGTATTCATGAAAAAAGAAGGTAAACTTCAATAATTATAAATCACAATGCACTCTATTTAAATTGGGGAGTAATCTTTTTTTTCCACCAACGAATATTCGAGAGCAGAAAAAACAGTTTGTTTGTCATATGGAACTTGAGAAAAATGCACCAGCAGAAAGGGATGTGGGTTGAGACAGTGAGACAAGTAAAAGCAGCCCAACCCACCTAGCATGGAGAAGAGATTCTTATGTTATGACAATTTAAGCATGCAGAATGAATTTGAAGGCAGTACTTCAGAAGATGGAAAATGCAGGGGAAAGAAATGACAAGAAACTAGTCTTGTGAGTAGAAGCAAATGAAATGTTCATAAACTACACACCTGAAAACAAGTAGAAAACAGAGTTCCGAGTAGTGAAGAGAACATTCACCTGCATGAAAAGCACGAGGGCAACTCTGAAAAAACATTAGATCCCCTCCATCTCCACCTTCTGCACACATATCATCACCAATACCTGTGGTAATGTTTTGTCCATTTGCCAACGAAATAGCTATATCGTGGAGGCTCAGTTCATTAGAAGTATAAATGTGACGGTAGCTGCATAAGAGAACACTTGATTATGAATAAGAAAGAGATCAATTAACCAGGGAAAGGTCCATCTACTTCCAAAGGCTACTCACGGCGGACGCCTGGCAGACATTCCAGCATGAGACTCAAACTGTGAAGGGCTAATCTGTCACCAATAGATTAAAGGAACAATAATGAGTGGGATAATGAGAGGGCTGTGGCCATCACATGCAGCTCCAGATATGATGTTAATATACAGCATAGCAATCTTACCTCTACTTCACAACAACTACAGGCAACACCATTACCCAAAAAACCATTTCTTTTTACCAAACTGCTCAAACTTTTATATTAATTCTAAAAAGACCTCATTAAATATAAAATACAACCTATCTTTGTTGTTCCTTTTGATATCTCTATCTCATTACTCATCAGAAGAACAGAAGAACAAAAGGAACATATTAATACTACTTCAGATATGTAAGTTGTTTTTACTAGGAATTGTAAAGTTTAGATAATCTCAATATATAAGTTAGGTGAACAAATTCAAACTATTGTTTTGAATTAACATAGAAATATTATAGCAGTTTGATCCTTTTTAAATTAATGGATATTAAACTCGCGACATAGTTCAGAAATCTATATAATCTATGATAACAGGAGACAGTCCAACCCTTGTGCTAATAAATTATATTTAAAATTATTTATTAGATTTAATTTAACTATCATGTTGGATATTCTATTTACTGAGCTATTTTAAATTTTACTTTGGTTTATTTGCTATGCTTGATTTAATTATTATTTAATATTTTATTTAGCGAGCTATAAATTCAATAGCTTATTCTAGTTAGACTTTTTATATTTATATGTTATCTTTTAAATGCTAAATAACTTTTAATAAATTGAATAAAATTTACAGAACTACAAGCTTCTGCATTCCTTCTTTTCTTCGTCTTTCACTTCTCTTTATTTGACTTCTTTTTATCATTTTATTTCTTATTACTTCTTCATCTTCTTAATCTGTTTTACCCCGCATGATGAATGAAAAGCATGCTTCCATTTGTTGATAGACATTCCTGTAGCTGACAAAATCCATAAGGATGGATGACAGTACACAAAAGTGGTAGTAAAGGAGAGATCAAAGCAAAGAAGAGAGAGATCCAGCAGAACCGAAGACCTGAAAATGCATTCTTCTGTTTAACAAAAATGATATAAATAATGGAAACCAACTCTTCTCAAAACAATCCAGGTCCCAAGTTCTACTCTAGTTCTGGCAGCAAAAGGCACCAAAGGCCATTCTGACAAAAAACTTTCCAAGCTTTGTGGGACCAAAAGGTTTCTTATCTTCACACAAATTATATTGTACAAGGTGCATAAATGGGAATTACACAACACCTCTATTATACATCCACGACGACCGCCCACAGCTTTTTGACATTATGTATCTCATCATCACATGCAAGGACCTCGTGCCCTCATAAAAAAGATATTAGGCCTAAGACGAGGAATGGAAAAAATATATATTAAAACTAACGTGAAAAATACCCAGCACTACCAACCCATCGTGATAAACAACCCGGAAGACGACTTCTACCTGCTTGTGGCTCAATTTACAACCGGCGAGTGGTCCTGAACTGCAACCGTTAGCACAAGAAAGGGAAACCAATCGCCTCCTGCAACCTGGTTCTCGAACTTGTAGCTTAACCATCTCAAGGCCTAGCAATTGCGCATAAAATTAAAAATCAGAAAGCCTTCACTTTTTTGTCAGGAACAGCGATCACAAGTTCAGGAATTCCTGGATCCATCATGCTCTATACAGATGCCAGAAACCCAAGGTGCAAGCACAAGCCCAGAATGAAGTATATGTAAATATCAGAAGCACATCTATTATATCCAAGCAAGAGAGCCCCGATCATTTGTTACTTGAGGACGGCCTCTAGTTGGTGTAGGAGGTCTATTAGCATTCAACTCCTGTCATTAGAAAAACAGTGGAAACAGGATAGAGATCACTGGTCAGCGCAACAATAAGTCAAAATATTAGGCTTTGAAATGCAACAGCACCTGCATCCATGTATCTTCAATATGACGTTCAGGTGAAGCTTCTGGCGATGAAATTGCTGGTGGTAAAGGATGAATGAGTTTGGGAACCACCACAAGATCTCTTCCCAAAACTAAGATTGCCCCTGCATTATTTGCAGTACCTGCAGAAACAGGCAAGAATAGAATTGCTAAAATTAACCATGAATCTTGGAAAAATTAACTAGCTAGTTTAAGTTGATGAGTAAATACCACAATAATTGGTGGCAGAGAAAAGTGTAATCAAATGTCCTTGAGCAAAGCGCTCGAAGCCATCCATCACACATTCATGGGCGCGTACAATCAACTGAAGATCATTGTTATTGCAGAACTCCATAACACGATCAGGCTGCAAATGAAGAAACCATTCTCAATGAGCATAATTTCTCTTTTGGATTAGCACCAGGTATCCAGGCCAAGGCCCGACTAATCTTTGGGGTGCACAGGCCCTCGGCAAAGAGTTTCCCGTAAGTGCACCATGGTTAATTCAAGGGCTTTACCCAAGTCCGATGGCCCCATGGAATTGTTTGCACCTGGGAAGAGTCAAACTTGAGATCTTGGACAGGAGCACACTGCCAAGTCCCAGCTCTTCTCCACTAGGTCAACTCCATATGGTTCAATCAATGAGTATAATATGCAAGGAAAGAACTGAGTTGACATAAATAGTCATCATGGACACGACAACCAGTGCTGAAATCAAATAAACCAGCCAAATGACAACAAATCCTATAATCACAACTTTAATAAGAAGGAGAAGTCCAAAAACTCTTCATCTTATAACATGAAAGAAATTTGAGAGCATGGAACAGATGTAAGCCTAATTAAGTAGATAAAAATAAGAACCTGCTTTGAGTTTAATTTAAACAGTATCATTATTATTTCAAAAAATGTTTTAGTAATTCAAACAGACCTTAGGAACAAGTTACAAGGCAACAGACCAATAAACCATGAAACAACCTGCAGTAATGAGTTAAACACAAATACAACTGCTCTTACCCCAAATGTTACCAACCCTGGACCCCTAGCATTTGGTCGCAGTCCTTCCACGCTGTCATTTTCTGTGGGATCGGACCTATAGCAGAAGAGAAAAAATGTCATTATAGATAAATAAGTAAATGAGAGACAATATGGCAGGAGCACTGACCATAACAAATC